TTCTACAGTGCATTCTATGATACCCAATGTCCTGAGGCTTGTTAACATAGCGAATCTCTTCGAAACCTTCTGGAAATGAGCAGTCAAGTTTGGAAATACATCGCACAAATAATAATAGCCTCAAACAACACTTACAGTCTCAGTATTTCAAAGCAAACATGGAGTCAGAATACCAGTTATGGAGGGCTGCGGCTTCCATTTCAAGACAAGAAACGTATACAGTTGCTTCGCTCTTTTCAGGCTGCCTCCAAAGTTGGTCCTCCAGTGCCTCCAAGACATGTATAGCTATGACTATAGATAGAATACATCTCTCCTCAGTCTTAACCCTGTTCTTATTCCCTTTGTTCTTCGATAAACCGTAGAAATTCAATTCCCGTGAACCATCTGGCACCATTATTACATGAGCTAATTCCGGAACCTCACGGGAAACGGTTTATAATATTTCGGGTGGTTATGCTCAAAGTCTCAAAAGGATCTGTCGTGATGAAGCTTACTCAAAAGTATAGTGCAATGCTCAGTTGCGGTCTCATAACAAAACCAAATCTATATGGAGCTCATCCCATGAACTTTCATCGTTACTAAACGCCACGCAAATCAAATAAGTTAACCCAAACTCCGACTATAATCAGCAAAACGGGCCTTCTCTAGAAGTGCACGAAGCAAGAGCAGTGATTGGTGGTCCCATCGGTGGCTGCTCGAACACTAGAACCGATAATCAACCAATACCGTTCGATCACGAAGATCACTGGAGTATGGGAGGATGGCAGGATGGACCATTCGTGTTGCCAATCCCTTTACGAAAATGAGAGCAATGCTGTGGTGCGGCTTCCTCCGTGCATCCAAGTCAATGTAAGGCATAAGAATTTTTAGGTTTTAAAGAGCCTCCCGTTTCTTTTTGAAAGGTCTTTTTTTGCAGAGCATCGATTAATAGGCAGCAGGCAAGCTTCGACATACTCTTACCATTCTTGTTGTACATTTTACCTATACATACTGTCTCTCGATGCAAATATAATAAATCCTTTTATCCAATCAGTTGTTACTAGAAAATGTGCAGATGATAAGGCTGCAACGGTAGGTTGTTTGCAGTAGAGAAGCGATTTAGGCGACTGCTGCTTCGAGGGCATACGCTCTCCACAAAGGCATTCCATTAAGTTGTAAGAACATTCGAATAGTGGTTATTCAGAGGACGGGCCAAGGACACTGCCTCACTCCTTACTCTTCAAGCGCGCGGGTATTCAATATGAGGATAAATCCGGTCACAGAAAGTACTGAAAATGTGGATTCATTGAAAGGAACATTCTGCTGACATGAATAGCGCTCTCCAGATGACGTGCTGCCCATCTTGTTTCACATCAGATGGAAAACCTCATTTTCATGCACTTTGAAGTGATAATTGTGAGATGAGTTTTTTGATTGATAACACCACTTTCACACTAATTGGAGGCGAGAAAATGAATGGAACAGTTTTGCATCTGGGAATCCAAGCCCATATATAAATCGAGCACTCAAGACTGGAGTCGTAATCTATTCAATCGTTCTTCTTCATTATTTCTTTGTTAACTCCTCCTTAGCGATAACTAAAACTCAGTTCCTTAGAAGGACCGCAGCTGAGGGCCGTAAAAATACCACCGATTTTAAATGAACGTAGCGTCTAAAGAAATTCAGTCAGAGGAAACTGCGAATCGTGTAGAATTTATGAGATGGCAGTTTTAACGGAACCTTCCAAAGGGAATTTCCTAGGACGCTTTTCGACAAGGCATGAGTAGTTGCGCATATGTAGTTGGACTATGCCTTAATGCCAGAGATGAGCAGCTGAACATCGATTCTCCCTAACCTAGTCAATGTGTCATGAATAGTCGTCAGACTCCTGCATCACATACCACCTCGACGACAATCTATTGAAAATTTGATGAAGATTTTTTTTATCAACATTGCAGTCATCCAGATGACATCGCTCCTACTTGTGCTTTTGTCATTATGCCTAGTCATAGACGCAATTTGGCGGTGAGTACTGATTCTACCCAAGCCGGGTGGAAATTAATGAACATGTTTCAGTGTGCCCATATCCAAAACAGTTCTTGATCGGAGTTCCCATAAAAAAGGCGCCATAGCTGAATTTCTGAGACAGAAATACATCAAAAACTATACGTTCGTCTCGAACTATGACTATCAGGAAGGACTCTCCAATTACATGAATGTGAGCAACCGATATAATTGAGCATCCAGTAGCAATTCAATTTGATCATTTCTAGAGCCAATACTATGGCACTATCCAGATTGGAACTCCTCCTCAAACATTCACAGTGCTATTTGACACCGGCTCGTCAAACTTATGGGTTCCCTGTGCAAATTGTCCGTCCTCCGACCAAGCTTGCTTATCTCATCAGAAGGTAGATAGCCAAGAAAATGTGGTGATATCATTGTTAATAATCGACATATCGTTTTTAGTTCAATTGTTCACAATCGTCAACTTGCACCCAAACGTATCAGTACGTTCCTATTCAGTACGGCACGGGCTCAACGCAGGGTTACGTTGATAACGATGTCGTCTGCGTAAGTTGAAATCTCCCAGAGGAGGTTGTGTATCCAAAAATTTCTGTCTTTTCCAGTTTGGAACGAATCATCAGTACTGTACCAACAACCAACAGGGTTTTCTTTGTGCAATGCAAGAGCCCGGAGAGACATTCGTTGTGAGTTGAAGTGATACCTCTTGTGACGAGATAAGCAAGGAGAGGTACAAGCTCCCTGATTTCAGGACAAACCATTCGACGGCATTCTCGGAATGGCATGGGATTCGATTGCGCAAGGAGGCGTTGCTCAACCTATGACACAGATCTTTGCTAATCAGGTAATTTCTGTAGAGCGTAGAGTATTAATACGACAAGTTAGTTATGATGACGTGCATAATTGTGACGGCACCCATAGAAAATACATACAGCGAGAGCGCAGAATATGTAGAACGTGAGAGGGTAGCCATAGATGTTTTCTTAGTCATTACAATGCGAAAGTAATAAACCAAAGCCGATCGCCTACTCAGTAGAAAATTAGTCTCATTGCTAATGCCGGTAGATAGGCATTAAGAAAGTATACATCAGCATGGAATAGGGCCAATCTTAAAATTACCACCTGTGTGGTGGGCGGGGTATCGCCGAAACCAACACTGGCATCCACCTAGAACGACCATACCCTCTATTATTCCGGGGTCAGATAATTGCTACCAGCCTTTTCGAGAGGGTAAAGATACGGGCGTACCGGCAGGACCCATAGCGATTTCTGTCAAAACTTCACCCAGGTGACTGTTACGCACAGTTCGTTGCTCTACCACCTTCTTTTCTTGTTTGTCAACCGTATGATACCGTCAAATCATTCAGATCTTGAAGTTAAATTATTATTATGTAGCAGTATGAAGTATTGGTGAGCGGCGTGGCAGCTAAACATGACCTCCGCGGTCTCGAATCGGTTCTGAACATGCCGACACGCATTCCATCCTTCGAGATTGATCAGTCAATGCCAAATTGCCTGAGAAGATAAAAGTGCTAACTGTAACATGGACTGACCTTCGCAAACTATTGCTTGAGTGCCATGCGCCACTACACCAGATGCCTATAGATGCCACCACAATTCTGAAAAAGAGTTCAATGCGTGGACACCCTGATAATGTTTGATCAACACCAAAAGATACCGGTTTTCATTGCAGGCAATTTGCCCGGAAGCCGTCTTTGCTTTCTGGCTAAACCGTGACCTCTTCAATAATGTCATCGGTGGAGAGCTGACTCTGTGTGGAATTGACCCGACCCATTATCAGGTACTGTCGTAAGGCTTCCGGCAGTTGAAATTGACAATATTTTTCAAGGGCACAATTGCGTGGGAGCCGCTGATATCGGAGACCTACTGGCAAATCCAACTCGGAGGGCTAACCGTCAACGGGCAGCAAATCATCGATGGTCCCGTCGGAGCAATCGTTGACAGTGGCACGTCGCTCATAGCAGGACCACCTGCATTGGTCCAAGAGGTGAACTCTAACATCACCGAGATTTACTTTATTTCTTCCTTGCTTAAATTCTGCTTTCAGATCCAACAAGCCATTGGAGCAGAATACGAATCGATCGACTGCAGCACTATTCCTAGTCTTCCACCAATCACCTTTACCATCGGTGGCACAGAGTTGACCCTGACGGCAAAGCAATACGTGATCCAGGTATCAAGTTGGAAATGTTTATACTTGACAAGTTCGTAGTCGGGAACAGCTGCTTGTTCCTTTTGAGCTGATGAACAGAGAATTTTATTCGAAACAAACTTGAAGCTAGCAGAGGCAGTGGCTACGATTAAAAGAAGTAGAACTAACCCTCAGCAATCGTAAGATGTTTTATGTAACGAAATAAGCAAATGATGAGTTCCTCCATAAATCGTTTACATTGCTTACAACGCTTATTATAGTACACTGACGGAACGTGCGGATCTGGCTTTCAAGAATTCCAAAATCCAGTTCCCGGTAAGCGTTGGCGGTTCAGCTGGTGTTTCACGGTGAGCCTGTATTGCGTAATTTTAGGTGTCTCATGGATCCTCGGTGACGTCTTCATAGGGACCTTCTACTCGATATT